ATGGGGGACAATGACATTCAAACCACCACACCCTCTTCATAGTAAAAATTACAAAAGATTGGGTACCTGTAGACCAGGGGATAAGGGTCACGTGCAGACACAGACTGGCTCATTTTCTGGAATAGTTTGCAGCCAACCTAGGTTTCCAGCTCAAGGATTGCACAAACTTCCTTCCCTGTCTGGCTTATTTTCCTTCTATTTTTCTTCATGTGGGGAGGGAGCCCCGTGTACCTTTGGGACTTTTCCCCCATCAAGCAGTAACTGGCAACCTCACCATTACTTAACCATGGTGCCTTGAGCATCAGAGTCCAGCAAGCACCATTGGTAGCTGTCGGGCTTCTGCACTTCACAAGCCACTACCCTGTGCATCTGGAAGCTATAGATACAGGGCTGGCCCTTGGCACATGGCTGGCACTCTCCCAGGGTGCTTTTCCTCTAGCATGGAGAGGATATGAAGATTCATAACCAGAGTGCCCTGGATACCTTTTCCCTTTTTTTATGTTTGAGACAGGGTCTCATTCTGTAGTGCAGGCTAGCCTGGAACTTGCGGTCATTTTCCATTGTTGAGGTTACAGGCATGAGCCCCCATACTCTACTTTACTTCCCTCTTCACTGAGGGCCAGCTGAAACCAGCTTGCCTTCAGAATCAATGGGTGGGCATGGCTCAGGGGCTGTGAAGTGTTGGAAAACTGGAACACAGCTTTTAGAGAGAAACTGACTAAGGTCAGGTTTGCTTCCCTGTACTTCTCACTCAGCCTGTAAAAAACACAGCTTGCTCCTGCTTTCTAGGAACCTGTATACTGAGATGGCCTCTGCCTGCCACTCGCTCTTCTTTTCCCTCCTTCCACGTATTCTGAGAAGGAGCTGTGTGTTCCTGTTGTTTAGGGTTCCCTAGGTGTTCAGAAACTGGGAAGTGAGGAGGAGGATAGTGAAGACAGCCTGTGTGGGTTCACACTATGCCTCACCTCTAGCATGGACAGCTCATCACTTCCCTAAGAAGGCCACTCATCTGTATGATAGGGTTATAGTAAGGGTGGCTGTCCTCACACGGTCCCACGCTGGACAGTGTGAGCGTGTACGGAGTGAGTACTCAGAACTGTGCTGTGCAAACCTCCCTAAGCTATGATGGCACCACATTCTCAGTGATGAGACTCAGGCTAGAGGGATTGTTTGACAAAGGTCGCTTGATTAAGTGGCCAATATGGATGCCAACCTACCCTGGTTTAGGCTCATACTATTAAACCACTGCCAGTGTCAATGCAGAGAATTCCAGTGGTCTAGCCTGGGACTAGTGCTCTGTTAACTTCTCTTTATGGATAAACTTTACTGCCTTGACTTGCAGACATTTCTGCATTGATCCTCTGACCCGATAATACATAGATGCTCTTTTGGGTGCATTTGTGTGTTTGACACAGCACTCTTCACATGCGTGACACTCTTCATATTCTATTGCCTCCAAAGAAATTTTCTTTCTTTCTATGCAGGATAAAGCTGGGGTGAAGAGTAGAAAACTTACTTGGAAGTAGTTTTGACCCAAGGTCACTTTCTTTTTGAGTTGGTTTCCTCTGAGGGCTGCACTGCTCATTTGTAGGGACCTGCACTGTGGAAGAGGGTGGCAAGATGCTGCATATGATCTGTATGGCTGCAAAACCCAGGTGGCTCCTTCCCATGTGGAGCACCGCAGCCTGTGCCTGCTCCTCCTAGGAGTCTCGGGGTTGGTGTAAACAGCCCTGTGGTCTTCACCTGCTCTTCTTCTTAAAGCCTTCTTCCATCTGCACTGCCCGCTGCTGGCTCACAGCACTGCCACTTCCCATAAGTACGATGATGTGGACACCTGCCTGGTTTTCTCAAGCCCTCTGGGCTGTCTATGGTAGTCAGTGATTGGAACCACAATCCTGTCCTGCCTCCCCACTTCTGAAGACACTTCAGTGTGTCTCTTCTCAGATCAGCCATGCTCCCAGCACTGTGGTCCCACTCATCTCTCTCCATGTGGCTTTCTTGCAGCTCTCTACATGCTGAATGTCATCTGGCCATGTTCCTCAGGCTTCTTGGAACCCTGTGACACTACCCTCCTTCAAATCATCTGGGGCCTCCCTGAGCAGGCCAACCTCCCCCTCCAGACGGTGCCCTTCTGCATTTCCTCAGCTACCCATCCCACTAACTAGCTAGTTCTTCATGGCTGGGACATGCCTCTCATCCAGATCTGCGGTGGTCTTGATCTCCCACAAGCATGGTGGGTGTGACTCTGTTGTCCCCAGGCCCCCTGGACACAGGCACCCTCTAAGTAGCTGTCTCTGACCACAGCTGTAACAGTTACCTGTAAAAGTGGGGTCAGGGCACAGCTCTTGATGGTGTGGGTATTTCTAAACACACTTTTAAGGGCTGCTGTTGGGATCTCAGGGTCCCCAGAAGGAAGTTTCTCTATGTCCCCTGAGCCCTCAGCCAGGAGTGGTGCCACATATGTGCAATCTCAGCACCTGGGAGACAGAGGCAGGAAGATCATCCTGGGCCATGGAACAAGTTCAAGGCCAGCCTGGAGACCCTGTCTCAAAGAAAAATAAATAAACCGGGAGGTAGTGGCATGGCACACTCCTTTAATCCCAAGCACTGTAGGCAGAGGCAGGTGGATCTACAGGACTAGTTCCAGGATAGCCAAGGTGGCACAGAGAAACACATCTCAAAAAACATAAATAAATGAATAAATGAATAAATAATCAGATAAATAAATACAATCAAGGTATTTTCTACAGGCAGAGCCATGGTAACATGATGGCCTACTCAACTTTCCTTAGGCAGTGTTACTTTGTGTGTGAGCTTCAGAATTAATGCCATGGGAGTCGTGTGTGTGTGTGTGTGTGTCCTCTCCCCCCCTCCCTCATCTCTGCATCTCCCAGCATCCAGCAGGCCAGAGTGTGTGTGTGTGTGTGTGTGTGTGTGTGTGTGTGTGTGTGTTGATCGGGGGAGCCCAGAGTCTCATACATGCTCAGCAAGGACTCTACTGATGAACTTCAGCCTATCCCTGGCATCAAGAACCCTCGTGCTGCATGTCTGACCAGTAGCCTCCCTCACCCTTTAAATGCTCTTTGATCCTTAGCAGCCCTCCTCATTCGAGGCTGAACATTTTCCTAATCCCCAGAGCTAATAGGGCTTCCAAATCAGAATGGCTTTTCCTTTGTTTGTTGTAATGGCTTCTAAGAAAAGAGGGACTTCCCTTTTTGTTAAGTTGCATGGGAAAGTTGATTAAGTTGTTCTCCTTTGGGCTGCACATCCAAAAAAGTTTCCCATTTATTGAGCACTTGCTGTGTGCACTGGCACTATGGATGCTTCTGTTTGATCCTCACCCCTCCTTGGTGATGTGTGGGCACTGTTTTCCCATTTATAGAGGAGAGATGGAGGCTGAGAATTAACGCATTTGTGAATGGTCACACCACTATACTAGTGTCGCTAGTGTTTCAGTTCTAGAGTACATGCACTCAGCCAACAAGTGTTTCTGACACTTGCAGCTTTTGTGCTGGTTGATCTGAAACTGCCTTTCCTATGTCTGTGCTCTGAGTGAACCACAGTTTTGCACTTTTAAAGCTGCTTACTATTTACGATGCAAATTCAAAGCATGCTAGGCAGAGTCCCTGTGGTGTAGCCTAACAGTGAGGGTGGGGCCGACTGTACTGCTCTTTGATGTGTACTTTCCTTTAAAACAATGCTCACTTCCACATTTATCTTAATGCCATCTCCTTCACATTTATCTAATTGTTGTAACTGTAGCCTAGGGTCATACTTGGAAAGGCAGCACCAGCTGTGGGAATCTCGTGCCCTGGGATCTGTTCTTTGTTCTGCCCTTTCAGGCCACCAATCCCAGGCCCTGCTGGGAAAGAGTCCTTCTGGACTCAGGCTTCTGATATAGATTCAGGTTTATCTGACCTCCAGCTTGTATCAGGTAGCCTCAGCCCAGGGGCTTCATCTCTGGCTCCATGTCTGTCTTTGTCCCTCCAACTCCAGGGTGATAGCAGTTTCCAGTCCCTCCAACCCGGGACCAAGTTACTGCCCATGGCCTTGGTACTCTGTTCCTCTGGTTGGATTTGCTATGATACAGAAGCAGAGCATTCCATTCTCCAGGACGGACCTGGATTGGATACCGTGTAGCACCAAGTGTGACTGCAATACTTAGTTTCCCTGAGAGATTTAGACAGTGGATATGGTCACTGGTTAGAAACCCAGTGCTCTCTGTGGCAGCTGTCCTGTGTGCTGTTGGTCTTTGAGGGGTCAGGTGACAGATTATGGAACAAGCAGGCTGGGTCCATCTCCTCCTCCACTAGAGAAAACTCAGAGAAAATTCTTTCTGATTCAGAGTCAGCAGCAATCTTCACTCATGTCCAGAAAGCATGTGAGCAAGGAGAAATACATCCAACCACTGAGCTGGCCCTGGGCTTGAGTTTCACTGCCCTTTCAAAAGGGATGCTTTAGGGGCTGAAGAGAGGCTCGGCAGTTACAGATGCTTGCTGCTTTTGCAGAGTACTTGGGTTTGGTTCCCAACACCCATGTCAGATGGCTGATAACCACCTGACTTCAGCTCCACTGCATCCCGAACCCTCTTCAGGCCTCAGTATTTGCTCGCATAGGCACGCGCGCGCGCACACACACACACACACACACACACACACACACACAAAAAAAAAAAAATAAGTAAATAAATAAATAAATAAAATAAAATAAATCTTTTTTTGTAATGGTGATGTTTTATTTGTAGACCCTGGGTATAAAAAAATGCTCATGTGATGGTCATCTGAGACAACTCACCCTCTCTTCCTCGGTTACAAGCATAGACTTATTTATATTCCTTAAATGTCATTGCAAAAGCACTGCTCTATCCAGTATTTGTGTGTGTGTGTGTGTGTGTGTGTGTGTGTGTGTGTGTGTGTGTGTGTGTGTGTTTAGAGCCAGATGCACTGGGTGTCTTAAATAACTTTAATTTACTAAACCTGGCTCCTCCTCCCCTACCCCAGCCCTTTCTTTTCAGAAGACACATTTAGACAATCACCATTCACCTCCAATTCAAAAGATCTGCTGCCTGGAGAAGCCATGCTGCACGGAAGAATACCGGCTCCAGGTAAGGACACATTGTTGACTTGGCCTCCGCCGCTGGGTGCTTGCGAATGGCTTTTCTGAAATGTGTTTTCAGAAAAGCTCTCGGCTTGGGAATTGCAGCTATTCCTGTGAAGGTAGGTTTTAGAAAAGACAGAGCAATGCCTTTGAAACTGCCACAAAAATTTACTAAAATAAAATGAAGACTATGGTAACTCTTTTATCTTTGTTTTAAGATCTGATCATCCCTTCCTTGCTGTTCTATTTTGCCCATATAGTAGGTTTGTTTTTCTTTAAAATAGAGAACTCTAAGTTCAGGGAAGTTGCATGGTCGGTAAAGTGCTTGATGCACCATCATGATGACCCGAGTTTTGTCTCAACTCACACATACCCTGAGCCACGCTGCTCACCTGTAGTCTCAGGATGGCAAAGACAAGACGGCAGGCCTGTTGGGCAGCCAAATCCAAGCTTCTGCTTCACTAAAGACCCTGTGTCAGAAACTAAGGTGGAGAGCAAGTGAAGAGAACACTCAGTGTTGAGCTCTGGCCTCTGAACATGTGTGTATATACGTGTGTGTGTGTGTGTGTGTGTGTGTGTGTGTGTGTGTGTGTGTGTGTGTGTGTGTGTGTGTTGTGCACAATTGTCATGGAGCATTTGAGGACCACTTCTACCTACCCCAACTCCCCAGTACTCCATGGTCCCTGTTATGTGTTTGTCCCTAGGAGCAGAAGGGGAGACTGAGGTGCGCTCTCTCTCTCTCTCTCTCTCTCTTCCTCTCTCTCTCTCTCTCTCTCTCTCTCTCTCTCTCTCTTTCCTCTCTCTCTCTGTGCATGTGCGTGCGCATGTGCGTGCGCGTGCATGCGTGGCGTGTGCACGCATGCAGGAAGGGCTTCAAACAGGGTTTCCAGAATCAAGTCCAAGTACCTGCATACCCCAGGAGTCCTGCTTCACAGAATGTTGAGAGCTGAGTAATGAAGGTAAAATGTAGCAAAGAGTCAATGGTTTCTTCTGATGTGCTTGTGTGGGTGTCACAGTGTGTGCCAAGCAGAGGGGAAAGTCAAGCCTGTCCTTCCTTAATCTTGCAATGGCAGATCCACCTTTTACCTTCTCCCTGTCAACCAGAGTCTGGTCCCCAGCATTTTCTCTGGCTCTGTAGGTGGAGCATTTCTGCGTGGTCTCTGGAGGGAACATGCTCATGCAAGAAGACATGATGCAGTGATTGGTTCTAGCGATGGAAGGACATTCTGCTTAGTTTTCTATCTTGCTTCTCAGGCAGGGTGTCTTGGAGTTACTGTTGCTTCCTACAGTGTCATTCGAAAAGCTGTCACCCTGGTCCCCAAAATTATTGCCCTGCTGTTAAGTTGATGGACTGTGACTTTCTGATGTTAAAATAGCTGCCCAGGAATTGCCTGTCAGAGTGCTATGACCCATACAGCTAGTATCCCATGATGCATATATGTAAGCCCCATGCTGCTGGCATCACATCTGGCTTAGCTGTGTTTAAAAATTTAAAAATTGGAGGGGTTTGGAGGACTCAAACTAGTGGGTGTTTAACTATATGATGTGCATGAGGGCATTGTGTGGTGGTAGGTTTACATTACATGTTAGATAAGCTCACACTTTTAAAGCTAGCTCTTATTTGGAGGGAGATGGGGTGAATGTCATTGGGGTTTTAAACATGCAAATCAACCCTCACAAAGAATAATCAGCCTGCTGTTGAACAGAACCCTTCTGTAGGCATCAGGAAACCAAAAGATCCTTGCGTGTTCACATTTTGCCTAAGTAAATGAGGAATTTGGTTTTTGGTATGGATGGTGAAAATACTTAGGACACAGGGTTAAAATGAAAAGATTTAAAATATCAGGGGCATGCGATCATGAAGCTCTCCTCACTGAAGATAGTACTGTAAAGAGAGCCCCAGTAGCCCACTAACTGGAGAAGACCAACTTGGTTGAACCAGCATTTGCAATGAGGAGACACTGAAGGAAAACACACTTCCTTCAAGTCTGTACAAATGGCCACAGTATCCTTGTGCCAGCTCCCGGGTCCCTCCATGCATCTCTAAGAGGCACAGAAGCCTCACTAGAGGAGGGCTTGCTTTGGCTCACCATCAACTGGAGAGCCAGGTGCTAGGAGCAGCTTGGTCTGTAAGGCCTGCTGAAAAGCAGAGACAGGAACTCTCTTTTTCCTTTTTTTCCCTTTTCACTCAGTTCAACTCCCAGACTACGAGAGGCTGTTGAGTGACAATCAAGGTGGGCATCGACTTCTCAGCTAATCCTCTCTAATCTTGCCTTGATAGACACACCCAACAGTCTGCCTCACTAATACCCACAGTGTTCAAAAGTGCCTCAGCACACGAGTGAGGAGCAGAAGGCAACTTGCAGCAATTGGTTCTCTTTTACCACTGTGTGGGTTGCAGGGATCAAAGTCAGGTTGCCAAGCTTGGCAGCAAGTGCTTTTCACCATGGAGCCATCTTATTGTCTCTGGAGGGGTTTTTAGTTTTGTCAAGTTGAAAATAGGAGATAATGATCATAGCCACCAAATAGAGTTTTTAAATGAACTGCTTGTAAATGATTTATTTATTTTTATTTTGTGTGCATTGGTGTTTTGGCCAGCATGTGTACCTGTGTGAGGATGTTGGATCCTCTGGAACTTGAGTTACTGACAGTTGTGAGCTGTCATATGGGTGCTGGGAATTAAACCTGGGTCTTCTGGAAGAGCAGCCACTGCTCTTAACCACTGAACCATCTCTCCAGCCCCCGGAATGAACTACTTTTAAGTCTTCTTCCATTAGGAGAAGTCTATTTGCATATGGCAAGGACAGAGTCTGTTCGTGTATGTATTACTGAAATATCAGGTGGTGAAGTCTTGCTCTCTTGCTGCTGTCAGACACTACATAGTGGATGCATCACCTCACCATCCTGAAAACAGGGGAGCGTGAATCTCACAATACATCTGGACCCAAGGTTATCACGTAGCTATTCTCAGTTCACACTCAGGCTCACTAGGTCAGTTCTTGAAACGAAGAGACAGAAGATCCAGTTGAGCATCTTACAGGATCTAGAGTGAGTTCAGGATGTTTCTGGGAAATCCTGAATGACATTTGAGCAACAGGTTGCTGAATCACTGGGGAATGTGGGATTTAAGAAAGAAGCTAGGCACAGGGGTCTTGTGGTTCCAGTCTGGCATACTATTGAGAGCCTGGATAGAGAAAAGGGAGGAGAGGCCAAAAATGGACTTATCTGGAAGAGTGATCCACTTGGCAATCAACGGGTTGGTATAGAGACTGCAGATAGCTGCACAGAAATGGGCGCCAGGAAAGAGATAGTTGATGAGAAGGAGGGGAGGAGACACTGATGGGTAGTCAGGGATGAGGGTGGCTGTCTTTTTGGTCTGTCTTTTTAGTGCATGGTATAAAGTAACTTGTCTGTGTATCAGTGAAAACTTCACCATTCATAGAAGCCTTTTTCTAGGTCACTTAAATGCTACCATTAGAATATTTCTACTCTTTAATTCCTTAGCAAACTTATTTCCTCAGGAAATGCAAGATCAGTGTCAGCCCAGTGGATTCACTTTGATTCCCAGTGGTGAATGAGGCTCAGTGTGGCCAGTGACAATCCACAAAATCCCTGGTACATGCAGCAAACACAACAATATTTCAACAGCAGACTTTGGTATATTGTTCTAAACTGCTGTGGTTTGAACTTGAAATGCCCTTGGTGGCCTGAGTGTGTAGAAGACGGCTTGGTTCTCATCTTTGTGATCTTGGGAGGAGGGAGTCCCTTAGCAGAGAGGACCCAATGTTAGGTCAATGGAGATATGTCCCTGCAGGAGATACTAGAGCCCTGGCCCCTCCAGATTTCTCTTTGCTACTTGGCTGCAGTGAGGTGAGATAGTGCCAAACCCAAGCTCTCACCATGATGTTCTGTGCTGCCACTGACCAGAGTAATAGGGCCAAGCAAACATGGACCTCTGATAAGGTAAGCCACAATAAGCCTTTCACCCCAATAAGTTGATTTTCTCAGACGTTTTGTCACTGTGCAAGATGACTAACACATATGCATTTATTGGTAAGATAAAATCATTTTCCAAGTGCTTCCCAAGTGCTTTGCTGATATATAATGACCTCACTTGTGCAGCATATAGAAGGAAGACTGGAGCGAGACATTTTCCAGGGAAGACCTATTACAGTCAGATCTGCCTTTTTTTTTTTTTTTTTTTCCATCATCTTGCAGTGAGCAGGAGCCATTCAGGGAAAGCCTCAGCTCTGCTTGGAAACAATGTGGCACTTCAATTCTGAGTTATTATGATTTTGAAATCACAGCAGGGTTTGTTCTGTATCAAGCCAAAAACCAGAAACACAACCAGAGTGGGTGTGAAGGAAAACGTGGGTCTCCACGGGATTCGTTCTCAGTGTGTGGAGTCTCTGTGCTTCTGTTTGTTATTTCAGATGGAGTCTGGAATTAGATGATGTAAAACATTTGTAAACTCCTACCCCCATTCTTTCTCACCATAAAAAAGCAATGTTTTGTTGTTACTCACAATAAATCAATAAGAAGAGAAAGGGTAGAGAGCATTAGTGTCCCTCCAAAAAGAAGCTCATCTGAGTGGGCAGTAGGGAAATCGAGTTTCCTCGAGGACTTGGTGTGACAGTCATAACTGGGTGTTCAATTAAAAGATTGCTTTAGAAATTGTCTGCTGGCTTTGAGGAGAGGGCTGTCTCTGACCGTGGACCTGAATTCAGGTCTTCAGCATCCACGTAAAAACTGGGTGCTGTCTGTAACCCTGATTCTGCTAGAGCTTGATGGCCAGCTGGTCTAGCCAGTCAGTGAGCTCCAGGCTCAATGAGGACCGCCACCACCAACCACCACGGCTGCCACCATCTCTAAACAGATAAATAAGGTGGAGAATAATAGAGGAAGATACAAAATGCCAAATTCTGGCCTCCACACACACTTGCATACATGTGCCTCCAGGCCTGCATGCGCATGGTATTAGACACATGGTATACACATAAACAGGCT